AACCACAGCTCACGAGCTGTGTCTGTATAGAGGGTGCGTGATTTGATGTCTATAGGCATGGTATTTTGTAGCCAGGCAATGACTATGTCATTACAACGCAGCCAATATTCCATCAAAAGATCGTTGGTTTGTGCTGGTTCAGTAAGACTTCCATCAATGAAGCCTAATTTGTTCTTGATTCGTAGTGCCCTCTTTATGGATCTTGCCCAAGGGTAATAGTTGGTGTTGTCAAGCAAATGTGTAACCAGTACTGCACCTGAGTTTTCGTTTGCACCAATATAGTAGGGGTTGTTGGAATGAGTAGGATCATTAAAGTGAATGTTTGGCAGTGCATCTGTGTTGAGGTTTTGCTCAGTATTTGCATTTTGGTTTGTGGCTTCCATTGTTGTGCTTTGATTATCTGCCATAGCTTATGGCTCTGATACCATGTAAGAAATTGAAGTAATGAAGTGCTCTTCCTTGTTGAAGAGCGAAAATAATTGATTGATAATTGAATGTGAATTCTACAACTTGCTTCATACACTTTCAGATGCTGAAATATATACAAGTAATTGGAATGATCTAGAATCCTACAAAAACTAATAAGCTGAATAAAAGAATAAAATCCATAACAAAAAAAAAAGGATTACATAGCAGACATATAACAGAATCCAAGCTGGCCTCCTTAGTGCGTCCACAAGCCTGGTAGTGACCTTTCTACCCTTCATCATCACATCAATCTCTCCCTTGCTGATTATCAGCTGCCTACCGTTGGTTGTGCTGAGTCTAGGCTTATTTCAACACTGTCAACTTCTTGCTGGATGTGTTAAACCCAAACTGACGTACTAGTTTTTCATATTGACCGGAGAAAATCGTTTCTAGGAAGTGAATGGGATTTAGATAGTGTTACCCACTCATAATTTCTAAACTAACACATAAACTATAACTAGCAAAGATACTTTCAAGAAAATAAGACTAATCAAATGATAAATACATGCTAATCTAGATAGTTTAATGCAACCTCAATTCACATGGTTATGTTACAGATTGAGAAACTAAAAGAAGATAAAATCGTAAACCAACTTAAAACAATAACACTGATCTTGTGAGTCCAATGTAAGCAAATATACACACATAATGTTACAGAATTAGGCTTTGAAAAAACCATCAAAGCACTAATATTACAATAGTTTTTAGTTATTACCAGTAGGTTGCCAAAATTATATGATCACTTGTGATATCATATCTAGTACTTGTGCTATTACCCTTATCATTTGCTTACGCATCAAATCGCTCGCCATTCAGGGATTCCAATTCTACTTCAGTGGGTTCAGTAGTAAGCGATTGACCATGAAAGCAACCTCGTCCATCTTTCTTTCCATGTCTATGGTAATCTTTCGGGCAAACGCATTCATACCCCCCATGGCATTCACACATTTCTTTTAACATTTATTGAGACTTGGATCTTGGCATTCAATTATTTCAGCAAAAACAAATTAGAAATCATATAAAAAGGGATGCTCATCTTCATAAAGTGCACTTGCAGTCTGGTTAGAAAATCGTGAAAGAAATTATTTTATTCTAATTACCCAATCGTAATCATCTAGATGATTAGATGAAAAGTATTATACATGCATTTGAAGATCATACCTTGACAACCATTAGGGAGGGATGGATTTCCCTGATAACCCTCTGAACATAAACAGCCATAGCCATAACTATAACCATATCCATTATCAGGTTTGTAACACTTGGAATTTGTGGGTGGTATATGTTCTGCAATAACTTGAAAAACACAAACTTCTTGATTCCAAGACAAGTTACTATGTTGTTTTCCTTAAGGACCTGTTTGATTTGGAGGATTTTCCATGAAAATTGGAAATAAAATTCCATCTTCCCCAAAAAGTGTTGTTTGATAATCAAAATTTGCCATGGAAATCATTTTCTTGGTTTGGCTCACACACTTACCATTTCCTTGGTTTTGTTGGTTTTCTAGGTTACTTTTTTATTTTTTTTTTTGGGCAATGAAAACAAATTTTATAGACAATTGTAAAAAAAAAAAAATTCCCTTTAATGGACAATTTCCATAAAAAACAAAGCCAAACGAACACCAAAAGATCCAAAATTTCAACATTTTTCAGGTGGAAAATTATACCAAACAAACACAATTAATTACAATTCTCAGTAAAACATTTTCTAGGAAAATCAATTACCTGTAAAACATTTTCTTTCCACCCATTTTCCACCCTTGCAATCAAACGGACCCAGGAAAAGTCNTATACCAAACAAACACAATTAATTGACAATTCCCAGGAAAACAATTCTAGGCAATTCAATTATCTGAAATTCCTTTTCTTTCTCCCAAATTTCGCTCTTGCAAACAAACGGACCCTTAAGATAAAATTTATCCCTCTTCAAATATGAATGCACATGGGAAACCAAATATATCCTCCAAAGTTATAGTGGAATATCTTGAAATTTTGTTGGCGTCTATGAAGTTAACGACAACATCCGGAGCACCAAGAACTTGATAAACAAATACAAGAGACTTCATATTCTGTTTCTGTTACACAATATAAACTTCAAATTTTATATACAAAAGAAAGTCCAAAGCATGCAAGTATAGAAGATGGAAGAGAGAAACGAAAATGATATTCTATCACTTTTCACATCAAAGAAAACTTGAATCTATATATAGATTCTTGCTTTCCATAACGTTTAAAACATTGATAAGTTTCTATTTAAATCTGAAATTCATCAACCAAAACTGAAAAAATTCGAATCAGGCACAGTTTCCCTGCAAGGCAGATTGCTGGTGTGGGTGTGCTGGCATGCTCTGTAAGCTTGCCAAATTTTTGGCCAGTTTCTTCGTATCCCGTCTGATCCATTCACCAATTCAAGGCTCTTGACATTATTTTCATCTTTCCTTTAATATCCCAGAAAAGAAATTCTTTTGAAAATCTCTCTAAATGACTATACATGTTCTTTCAAACCTCCTACACGTTCCATTCCCAATTGACAAATCAACCACCATAGGAAGCTTCTCTACATTCCTCATGCTAGAAAGAATGCTCAGAGGGAAAGTGAATTCACTCTCCTCGGAATGAAAAACATAGGTGCAACTATTGAATTCCCTCACATTTGTGTGATTTTCATTGCTTTTTAATGTCACATTCACTCTCCATACCTCTTCCTTGGATAGTCGTCCGGCAACAGCCTTAACCAGAAAACAAACCGCCAGCCAAATCTTTCTTGTTGTCACACATGACAGCGCACCGTCTGGTAATCCCGGTTCATCCTTTGCCCCTGTACAAGAAGCACAAGTATGGCTGATTTTGAATAATGTACACCCAAAATTCTTGATAAACACAAACATTATTTTGCTCTTCTAGAAATTAATAAAATCTTTCTTTATCAATTAGATACAAATTTACATTTTTTATCTTATCTTTTTGTCATAATATTAAATTATTAGAAACATTAAAGTTTAGGTTTCCTCACTTTCTTAAGCTTTCTCTTTTTACTTTCAAGTTTTATTAGAGCATCATTATTATTTAAAGCAATAATATGAACTATGGAATTGGGACAAGCACTGAGGCAGAAGTTAGAGACTATCTTCGCAGATTAAAATTNAGAGCATCATTTTTATTTAAAGCAATAATTTGAACTATGGAATTGGGACAAGCACTGAGGCAGAAGTTTGAGACTTTCTTCGCAGATTAAAATTGTGTTTTGCAAGGGGATATAGGAACTATGGATCGAGTTGGATTCCAAGATAACAATACTGCTGGTTACGTCAAACCACGGGTAAGAAAATCCATGCCAAATGAGAGCTATTACCTACTCATAATTTCAAAACCAGTAAATGCTTATACTAGAAACCAATTAACGAAGAATACAGTCAATAAAATAAGACTTATCAGATCATAAACATATGAGAAGTCGTATACCAATTCAATAATAATATTGCAAGTTCAGTATAAACTCAATCCACATCCTTATTTTATAGATTAAGAATCTAGCAGAAGATAAAATCATAAATTAACTCGACAACAGTAATGCTAACCTTGCCAGTTCTATATAACCTCACTCCACATTGATTCTAATGCTATAGATCATCTCCCACCACCCATAGGTAAAATAATATGATCCCTGATGCTATCATATCCAATAGCTTTGCTACTACTATCATCCCCATTTTCAATTGCAAAGGCTTTCATTTTCCCAGAAAGCAGGGATTCCGACTCTTCTTCATTGGGTTCTGTTTGGTTCCACGAGTGTTTTCCTTCTGATCTCAGACTTTCAAGTTCTTTAGCTACTTCCATCATGCTAGGTCTATCCTCTCCTTTAACATGTAAGCACATTTTCGCAAGCATAGCAACAGATGTTAACTCCTCACTGTTTCCTTCACATACAATATTATCATCAAGAACTTGGAATAAGCAGCTTTGCTTTAGTGCTGAAAGGAAATAGTTGGCTAAACTTCTCTCCTCTACTGGTCTGTCGTAGCTTAATGCCTATTTTCCAGTTAGTAGCTCGATCAGGACTACTCCAAAGCTATAAACATCACTTT